GTTTGGGCTCCTAGCCCTGGGCTTAGGAGGCCCATTACAATAATCATGCCTTCTTTGGGCGAAATAGGGCCACTAATGGGCTGTGTACAACACTTAGTAAATAAAATAGAGAGAAGCATTCTGCCCGTACGAAGCCGAGCCGATGCGGTGCCTTTTGGCCGATGCGGCCCATGGCCGATGCGGTCCATGGGCCGATGCGGTCCCGGGAGTCCATGCGTGCTTCCTGGGCCGGTTTTGTTTTTGGCCGATGCGGACCTACTGGCCGAAGGGGGCCACGTGGGTGTTCTTCTGGCCATCGTTGACTTGAGTATGTGGGCCATGGGGTCCGGGCCCATATACTCTATCACCGGTTGATAATGGCTTTTAAACCATTCCCATAAAACATAGATCATTTCTAGGCTATTAAGATGTACTCCGTATTTAACTGGATTGTGATATTCTGGCCTCATTTGGTTTGATCTGGTATGACCGGGTTTGTTTAGGTCTGGTCTGGACTGGTGATGTCTGCCCTATCTTATTGAAGCCTGGTATGATCAGGGTTGGTCTTAAATATGGATTGGTCTAATTAAACTTGATCTGGTCTATTTTGGTCTGGTTTGGGACTGCAATCAGTCTCAATAAAAACATCCTTATTTATCAAAAAAATTATCATACATTTTTACGATTTTGGAAGATCTTTTTCACTTTCCTTGGGCCACAATTGCTCCCATGTTTTCTCCCGAGTTAATTAGCAAATCAAATATTAGAAAAGTGGGCCACAATCGTTGCCATTCTAGGATGTATATCATATCATTTGGAAGAGTGAATGGTCTTGCTGGATTCAAAATTATATTGTCAATGGTATTGGGCACTATCCCACACGCGCAACGCGCGTTGAAAAACTAGTGTTGATATAAATACAAGAAATTGCATACGTAGTATTAAAATTCACAAGTACACAAATAGTACAACATTACTAAGAAAAAGTATAGCAAAATGATGACGCACGAGATAAATGTCATCTTTAATGTACTAAGTTCATGTGAAATTACAAAAAAAAAAAAATATCATCAAATTGTTGAATATAATAGAAATCTTCAACGTTCTTCTTTTTCGTTCTAGGTTAAAAATTACCCCGTAGCTCTAATTTAATTTATAGTTGAACCGAACCTTGAGAGCTAAGATTTAAACCATATTAATTAAGTTGTAAAATTACACAAACATGATACAATAAAAACTCATGCACACTACACTACTAGAAATGAATAGTCATGAATGATTTCTAAATTTTAAAATTCTATCAATACATACCAAAATATGACATAAATTATCTACAAAAAATAACAATATGTGTGTGTAAACACATTTAGCTATTTTAGGGACGCATGAATACATACTTGGACTATAAAAGTGTTGGTCTATAAAAGAGATCTATTGGTATAGAAAAAATATAAAAAATTCAAATGCATTATTTTCGAACGGTTCGGTCCGGTATTTTTCGGTTCTCAAAATCTAGGACCGGTCCCGTACCCGTTTCATACGGTACGGTTTCAGTACGGGACAAAAATCTATAGAACCGTTTAAATATCCGGTATTCGGTTCGGTACCATTACGGGACGGTTCGGTACCGGTTCGGTTCGGTTCGGGTTTTATGCCCACCCCTAGGAAAGGATTGTCGTCTGGGGAAGTGAAGATTTGGGAAGGGCAACATTGAGAATGGATTACGTATTCACGATCCGCCAACTTCAAACGCTCCAACTTGTAGCGTGTTCCTTTTCGGCGTTTGGGGCCAAAAGGCCATACTAATCAGTCATTTGCCAAACACTTAACTTTAGCGTTTTGACCAATTAAAACTACCAAGTTTGGTCTAATCAGCCAATTTTAGACTGAAACGCCATTTACCGGCCAATATTGCTATTTCTGATTAAGGTTACTGCTATGTATATCAGACTAGTCGTCATAATTTATTTCATACTTTGTTTCAAGAGCAGTAAGATTTGACTGAATTATTAAGTGAGTTTTTATACGTTCTTCACTAATGTTTTCCCGCCTCTTTCTTTCTTTTCAGGGCTCAAGGAACGATCAACCAACAACCACTAATTCACTGATTTATGGATTTCATATTTTGGGCTCTTTTAAATATGTTAGAATCCACTTCTTGTTGGAATTAATGTGTTTATACGGTTATACCATGATGTTTTAAATATGCATAACAGCCAGAGGTGATTTGTTACGGTATACCTAATATTTTCTCTCATACTTTTGTCGTACCGAAACTTTCAGTATACAAAATTTATATAATGTTACCTTACCGAAGTTTAATGCGGTATACCGAAGTTTGGATTCGGTAACAGTACGGTATCGGTAAATTATCATGCATGTCTAGGCTTGGACTCGGGCCGGGTCCGGGTCGGGCCTAGGCCCGGCGGGCATTTGAAGGTTGGGATGAAGACCCGGGACCGGCCCGGGTTACGACCGGGTCCAGTTCTTTTTTATTATTATTATTATTTCATCCCCCCCCCCCCCCAAAATTCCCCCATCCCCCAAACCCATCGGAAACACCCAGCCCAGCCCCAACAAAACAAAAATAAACAAAATGGCCCGAACCGGGCCAGGAACCGGCCGGACCGGTTCATCTTTCCCTAAGCCTGTACCCGCGCCCGGATACCCCAAAAACCGGGTCATGACTCGGAACCGGTACCCGGTTTCCCGGGCCGGGCCCAAACAGTGTCGGGCCGATCCGGTTTCCGGGCCGGGTGGCCCAAACAGGGTCCAAGCCTATGCTTGTCTCTCAATACAACAAATTATCATATACCAACAAAATATACTAAATTGGTGTTACTAGTGACGTATTTAAACCATTATTAGAATGTTACAAAATACAACTAATAATCTATTGATGTCATATTCAATATTGAACAATAATTATTATTGGTATTTTTAAGTAGTTCAACATGCCACGTATTATAAAAAAAACACATTCTCCTAAAATAACTTGAACAATATAGATATAATTAAATGAATAATGATCTCTAACAAAAATAAATTAAATTATTCAAACATCATGGATATAAAATCATTTATCCCTAATATACTCCCTCCGTCCCTTAAAACTTTGTCATCTTTATTTTTTGGAACGTTCCAAAAAATTTGTCACTTTCCCTTTTAATCAATATTTTGTAGGTTCTGTCATTTCCCTCTTCTCTGCACAAACCTCAACCACACAGTTTTTACTTTATTGTTCTCCGTGCCGGTCAACTTTGACAAACTGGACCGGCCCGACACTGTTTGGGCCCTGCCCGGGAAACCGGGTACCGGTTCCGGGTCATGACCCAGTTTTAAGGGTATCCGGGCGGGGGTACGAGCTTAGGGAAAGGTGAACCGGCCGGTTCCAGGCCTGGCTCGGGCCATTTTTTTTTATTGGGCTGGGTTTAGATGGGCTGGGCTGGGTGTTTCCGATGGGTTTGGGGGATGGGGGAATGGGGGGTAGGAGATGAAATATAATAAAAAAGAACCGGACCCGGCCCGGAACCGGCGGTAACCCGGGCCGGTCCCGGGTCTTCATCCCAACCTTCAAAAGTCCACCGGGCCTAGGTCCAACCCGGACCCGGCCCATCCCGAGTCCAAGCCTAATGTTGATACACTACACTCATCTGATAAGTGTATCCCTATTCACTCGTCAGCTACTCAACGACTCAACCACCGCGACTCGCAAGCTCATGGAACAAGATGAACTGGTTTCTGGACATTAGTACATTAGTCATTAGTCATTATGGTTAGTTTGTTTGAATGCTACGTAGTAGAAGTCTAGAAGGTTATAATGGGTTTGGGAAATTGGGCATTTATTTTTGTATTTTATTATTTGCAACCAATCTAAGTATTAATTTTGAGATTCAAAATTGTAATGGACTTTTACAATATTTTAGAATTTAAAGTAATTGTTGGGTAGGGAGTCGGTACGATATTATACCGGTATACCACGGTATTTGAAAAAGAAATAATTACATATTTATGACTAAAATATAGATTCTTTACACAAATGTGATTAGTTACTAAAGTAGTAATGAAATCATAGTAACTTATGATAAGTTTTTAAACCTAAGTTACTATGACACTACATTGTAGTGACTAATAGAGTAATAGTCATATTCATGTAAATAAGTTTTATTTTAGTAATATTTTTGTAAAAAGTCCTTTGAAAAAACTTACCGTTACCATACCGAAATAAATCGGTACGGTATGATACCATACCGAAAATGACGGTATACCAACAATCCGATATTTTCCGATATTTTTCGGTACGGTAAGTGTGATACACCGATTTTCCTGTATTTTTACCCACCCCTAATAGCAACATAGCCTTGAGGATTTTAACATGATTATAAATTAATTGTATGTCTTGTTTGAGAATTGAGTATTCAACTAAGCAATTATACATGAGTAACTATTACGAGTATTACGTAGAATTTATTATAAATTTTTATTAATAATTTTAGTGAGTTTTAGGTGTCATATATATACTATTAAATTTCGGAATTTTGGTATACTGATACTGTGGTTAAGTTTCGGTATACCGAATATTCGGTATGGCATCGGTATGAAGATTGTGATACCGAAATTTCGGTATACCGAAACTTTTTGGTATGGTAACGGTAAGAAATTCTCATATACCGATATTTCGGTACAGTATACGGTATGGCAGTAAATTTTCCGTATGCTATACCGAACCACCCCTACGGCCCTACATCCCACAAAGGGGTAGAGCAAGCAATCACGAAGTCATAGTACGGAATAATAAAAACTTAGGATGAAAATACCCTAATATCAAACAACTATTCTACCTGATAAATGAAATTATTGTCACTTTCAGTCTCCCATTATTGTGTAATTGACATTACCCGATTATTGTATCAATGACATTTCTAGCATTCAATTTTTATTTTTTCACTTTTAGCTCTCGCCTATTGTGCTAGAAACATTTTAATACCTTTCTTCAAAATTTTCTGTCATTTACGAAAAGTGTCGTTTTTAATAGTCGATACTACGCAAGAAAAAAAATCCAAAAGGGTGAATGACGTAACAGTGGCACAACTAAAAATAGCTTAACGCTCATGACACACAGACAAAATAGCTTAACTTCTTGTTGTACCCATCATGTTTGTGAAGGGTATTTTTTTTGTCCGTGAATCTGATTCACGGACAAAATTATTTACATTTACATATTTTGTGACTTTTTGTGTGTGATAAAAAAAAGTCTGCACAAACATGGTATAAAAGTGAGTTTAAACAGTTTTTTTATGCAATAAAGTGATAAACATCCAATAGACGAGCCTAAGCCTTGATCAATTCTTGTCCACACACATGCGAGTCAGTGACCTTGACATCCCACTGAACTCTCCGGCGGATCGATGCCGCCGCCGCCGCCGCTTCGCTGGTTCTTCTTCTCCATAACTCCAACTCCGCTACTAACCGCCGTCGGAGATTGATACTTTAGGCCGCGGGACGCACCAGCGAGACTTTTAGCGAGATCGACCGATGCCTTTTGACACCTTTGAATTTTAGCAATCAGTTTAGCAGAAAGGAACTTCACTGACGTAGATGATTCCGAATCATCACTAGCGGCTTCGTAAGGGAAATTCTGTTTCGCCTTTTCTCCGTGTATCAGCCTCGCAGCTTCGTCGTACGCCCTCGCCGCGTCCTCTGCTTTTTTGTATGTTCCTATGCATATTTTGTTCTTCCTGCGACCACAAAAACAGAGTATATTGATAAACGCTGATAAGGGGTCATTGGGGAATTCCAAAACATGAGTCAAATTTAGCATTATCGAGTTTTTAAAACACGGCAGTTTTTCCAAACTAACACTATATTTAGAGAACAAAAACATAATAAAAAGAAGAAAGAAGAAGACTCGCAGAAGAGGGTGGCGAATTTCGGCGGTCCATCCCATACGGCGTTGCCGGACGCCGCGGAATCGTTGCTGAGTTTCGGACATGGAAGATCAGGCGGAGAGAGATCTGGAAATGTTTGTCAAAAAAAACGTGGCTTTCTGGAAATGTTTGTCAGCCCACTAAAAAGAGATGATAAAGGGCTTCTTTTCGTGATTTTGGTTTTTTTTTTTTTTTTTTAGAAAAAAACACTTATTTTACTAAACACTACCAACTTTTACTTTCTCGGCTTCCGTGTAGAATTATTACACAAAAAACACTTATTTTACCAAACACTACCAACTTTTACTACTAATCACTTTTTCCCAAAAAGTGCTTTTATTTAAGCATAAGTAATTGCAAACAAAGCCTTTTGTCTGTCAGGAAGAGTTGATTTGTTTTGACCCATGATCTGTGTATGAGAGAGAAAACGTGGCTTTCTTTATTCTCGTAGTGGGAGTATGGGACCCAATAAAAACTCGTAACTTTCCAAATTCTTTTATTATTGAGGAAATTGCTAGACCAGTAGACTCTCACTATCATACACAGTACGGAGTAATACATTACAGATGTTTGTAGTTTTGTACTCATTCTTTTACTCACTCATGAATGTTTTTTTGTCTATAAATCTCGGTTCATAGACAATATTCTGCAGAAAAAAACACTTCACAAACATGACGTGTATAAGATGAGTATAAGAGTAAGTGCATCAAGCAATGTTGAATACATTAATACTCCTTTTTCTTTTTTCTTTTACTCCAAGGGGGTCTGGGGGAGGGGGGACGGGAGTAATTTAAAACTCACTCCTTTGAGTTTCAATTGAGTTCCGAACCCTTATGTGCCTAGCGGGTTTCGAACTTCAGACCTCTCACTAGGCACGATAACCTCACAACCAACTGAGCTAGAATGCTTGGTTAATACTACCTTCGTTCCTTATAACTCTGCCAAGTTTGACCGGCACGTGGATTAATAAAGTAAAAAATGTGTGGTTGAGATTTGTGCAGAGGAGAGAGAATTAACTGTAAGCACAAATTCTTTACTTCAACTGGAAAGTGGCAAAGTTAGTAGGACAACCAAAAAAGGAAAGTTGACAAAGTTTTAAGTGACGAAGTACATTAATACTCCATATGTTCAATAATATCATCTCCGTTTGGCAACACTTTTTTCAGCTTATCAGGCTTATCAGTCAACTTTTACACCAAACATGTAACTTTTAGTTTCGCACGTTGAATTGTGTAGTAAGCCGAAAAAATAAGTTTATAGTTCCTTTTCTGGCTGTATTGGCTGCAATTACCGTATATGATCATTTTAGCTATTTTTACATATAATTTTTTCTTTATTTTATCAATAAAATATATTTTAAAAATACTTTTTTCTTAAATTAGCAGAATCAGCCAATACAGTTACTTCAACCAGAACTTCATAAATTTCTGTAGAATCAGTCAAATCAGCTGATTTTCATGCTACCAAACAGGTTCTAAAGTTATGCCCTAATGGGGAAGAAGTAAGGGCAAATATTGAGAAGTATTTTGACTAAACATCTGTATGCCCTATATCGAGAAATGGGACCCATTAATAACTTGTACTTTTCCTAATTATTTTATTACTCCGTATTACATTCGTCCGATTAATGTTGAAGGATAAAAAAGTAATATGATTCTTAAAAAATTAATTCATGTGATTGTTATTGTATTGATAAAATAAAAATGATTTATAATCACACAAATTTTACTCAATCTTTATGAGACAATCTTCGTGAGACAGTCCAAAAAAATGAAACAATTTTAAGGAAGTATTTTGAGTTAGTTTATTTTTTGATTAAAAATTTGAAGTATACTACGTAACACAAATATTCCGGTCAGGAATTTCCTGACCGGAACCCCGTCCAGCCTCCTCCATTTGGGGCCTTCCCGGTGGTTATTTTTACTCAAATTTTTTGTGTATATTCCTCATCAAGTCTAGTTCATCCATACCAAATTTGAGCAAAAAAATGTGTTTTCCGGACCAGTTAACTAGCAAAAATCATTTGACGACCTTGCCGGTTGAATTTTTTGCTCAAATTTGGTATGGATGAACTAGACTTGATGAAGAACATATACAAAACATTTGAGCAAAAAATACTACCGGGAAGGCCCCCAAATGGAGGAGGCCGGACGGGGCTCCGGTCAGGAAATTCCTGACCGGTATAGCTCTCTACTACGTAATATCCAACGTTCAACCCGTAGATCTTCAGGTGTAGGGCCTTGTAGGCTAGAGGTCCATTTTATGAAACAATTACTGAAATTGCTTCGAATTAAAGAGACCACAAACAATAATAAAATATTACTCCCTCTGTCGTCCCTGATTGTTCTTCCAAATTAAAATGGCACGGTGATTAAGAAAGTGAGAATTGTGTGGTGGAGAGTTGTACAGAGGAGAGAGAAATGCTATGAACCACAAATTTTTTGACAAAAAAGGAAAGTGAAGCTCTTTTTGGGATGGACGAAAAGGAAAAGTTGGAAGTAAATTCAGGCACAGAGGGAGTATTACTTTCATTGGGAGAAGATGATCATTATTAAGACAAGTGAATATATGTCGTTGATATTGAATTGATAAAATTAGAATAAAGTAAAAATGATTTAAAATCACATAAATTTAACCAAATTTGGTATGAAATAATCTTAGTGTGATGAATTGAAAAGGAGTGATGACACAATTTTATCGTTACGAAGAAAGAGTTTTATAAACATTGTCTTAAATAGGCGTTAAAATATTTGTTAATAAGAAATCTTAGTTGAAACTTGAAATAATTACATATATTTGACCAAAATAGAGATTGTTTACAAAAATGTGACCACGACTAGATTAATAATGAAATTTTAGTAACTTATGTTCAATGTTTATACTTAAGTCACCATGAATTGATATTGTAGTAACAATTAGTCATACCTTTGTAGATAAGTTTTATCATAGTAATTTTTTTTTTTGAAAAAACACATCTTAGTTTGACAGTAATTAATTCTCTTTATTAGGGAATAAAAACATGATAGTTATATTTTGGAGTTCTAAAACATTTTCATTCCTATTTTCTCGATTATCCCTACTTTTATTTATGTCAATCACTGGATATTTTCTAGAGACTCAAAATGCAATTATAAAGAATAATAGTGGGATAAGGGTCAGATGGGGCTTCGAACATACAAAAAAATGTCAAATAAGGCCTTATATAAGATGCTCCGTCCGGCCGACGCCTTTTGGGGCGGTTACCGATGGAATTTTTTGATTAAATTTTTTGAGCATTTTATTCATTAATTCTAGTTTAGTAATACCAAATTTGAACTAAAAATTCAATCGGGAAGGCATTCAAATAAATTATTGAAGATAATTGCGCTTTTAACTGCGCAGTTATTTTCAAGAATTCATTTGAATGCCTTTCCGATTGAATTTTTAGTTCAAATTTGATATGAGTAAACTAGACTTAATGAATAAGATGCTCAAAAAAGTTCATCGAAAAATTTCACCGGGAACCACCCCAAATGGCGTCGGCCGGCCGTACATAGTATACTATATATGGCCTTATTTGACATTTTTTTTGTAAGTTCGAGGTCCTATTTGACCCTTATCCCAATAATAGACTTAGACCCGGTATGGGTAAAAACGAATAGGAACCTCTTGATATTACTATAGATGTTTCTTTTTAAACAGTTTTCAAACCCTACCAGACTTAAACAGATCAGACCAGACTAGACCAGACCAGACTTCCATAGTTATAAAATATATAGACATCACACATTTACCAGACTAGACCAGACCAGATCATACCAAACTTAAACATATCAGACTAGGCCAGCAAATTTTAGTCCATAAGACTAAAATATGAAGATGTTATGTATGATCCATAACTATTTAACAAAACACAACTGTAGTCATTTGAGTCATTTTCCTTAGATAATGCACAATGTATGCTAAAGCTATGGTGGGTTGAAATTTAGAATAACTTTAACTTTTTTATTATAAATATAGTAGTATAATTTTTAATTTTCATATTTAGCTCGCCTCGTTAATGTTTAAATCTAATATAACTATTCTTCAATCCAGTCCTACTCATACTTTTGAATCTGCCTCGTTAATGCACTATAGTGACTATACACAACACTTGATATTCAATTTTGATTCCCGCACAGCACCTATCACTCGTGCATCACATTATTTAAAACCGAGTACTCCTCTGTCCCTGAATGATATTCTAAATTTCTTTTTTGTTTCTGTCCCAAAATAATCTTCACTTTCTCTTTTCTACAAAAAATTGTGATTCACAACATCTCCTTCATATGTTTACACATTTCTCTTACCTCTGCACAACTTGATCTACACCAAATAATACTCACTGTCTTAATTTCAGTGTCAAATGTACTTTGGAAGATAATTTAGGGACACAGGGATCGAGTACCATGTATTGCGTTTTCGACCAGTGCAAGTGCTCCCCCAGTGATTCTTTAAATTTTGAGATTTCAAATAATAATGCAAGTACCATACCATATGTTATGTAGCCTATCCCTTTTGTCAATATTATATTGTGAATACGATAACAACAACAATATATAACATCACCCCAGTGTCGCAAAGGCTCTCACCTACGGTGGGGAAAAGGAAAGCCCGATGTATGTAATCTTACTTATGTACTAAAGCACAGAGAGAATGTTTCCGAATGACTCATGATGAAAATCGCGTAAAAAATAATTGCATGGACCGACTGCTGCTTCATGACAAAGAAGAGCAGACAATTTAGTATACATTTTGCTTTATTTCATCATGTTCTGAAGTAAAAAAAAATAGTGAGTCTTTGGATCCATTGAAAATGATGAAAATTTTGTCAACATTGTGAATAAAACAACTTCAAGAATACAATCAACGGTAATGATAATAAGGGAGAGTGTCTCATGCATTTTATCTTTCAATAGGGGATTACAAATAAAGCTTCTCATCTAATCCAAAATCCTGTGACTTTTTTCTATAAAATAAGGAAGAACATTTAACAACAGCGGCTGTCTTAGACTTTTAGTCAAATTTCTAAGATTTTGTTCCACAGAATATGGTGCCAGTTTTTGCTAGTGAAAATAAGGCAAATTATATCCTACATCCGGATGTACATATGT